TCTCATGGTGTTCTAAGAAACAACCCGTGGTGGAATCATCATCTTGTGAAGCTAGATATATAACAGGATCCTATGCTGCATGTCAAGCAATTTGGATCAGATTTGTACTTGAAGAAATAAAGGTTGAAGTGAAGAAACCTCTTGTATTGAAAATAAACAACAAGTCAGCCATAAATCTGGCGAAGAATCCAGTTATGCATGGAAGAAGTAAACATATTGAAGCAAGGTTTCACTTCTTGAAGGAAAAGGTAAATCGAGGTGAACTTGAAGTAAGACATTGCTCGAGTGAAGCATAGTTGGCAGACATTTTCACCAAAGGATTGAAGATTGACAAATTCTTGAGTTTGAGAAAGAAATTAGGAGTAGTTCATATTGACTATTTTTGAGGATGTTCGACAACTTGGATTATGGGGGTGTGTTGAATATTAAATTAGATTTGTTAAAATATTATATTATATTAGATTAGATTAGATTTAATATTTAAATATAATCCAAGGTGTGTAGACCCAAGCCCAATTAGGATTGTATATAAATAGTCCTAGTTTGTATCATTATTTGTACAATTCAATAATATAAATCCTTATTTCCTTTATTATTCTCTCTTTCTCTCATAGCTAAAGTGCCTCACGCACTAACATAAACTAGAATGGTATTACAAATCCGAATCCCTAATCCAATCAGCCAAGTAGAAATCTCTCACATATAATACATGAATTTTGGAACCACAATCTTTAAATCTTTCTAGTTACTTATTATATCTTTAGCCTTTGGACTAGCTTTTGGACACACAATTCGATTATATTGGTTCTCCAGGTTGATCAAACTCACCATCTGTGAAGGAGACAATTGTTGAGAGGATAAGAGAGCCTGCTCTGCAACAAACATTGATAGGTTCTCACTCAAAAACACATACACCACATCCAAACTTTTGTGTGGCATATCAATAAACACCATGTATGCAATCTTAAAACAACCTAAACAAAAGAATAAAACACACCACTAGACCAAGCAAATAAACATGATAATATTACTTAAATTAGAGAAAACACAAACCCAATTCCTCATACCTTTTTCTTCTGGTGGTGGAGGCTCCGATGGAGGATGTTTTCCATGTCTGATCCACTTTGGACCATTGGTTGGTGGCGATGATTTTGTAGTTACGAGAACTTGGTGGTTGTTGTCGGAAGGAAGGAAAATCATGATGAAGGTTTGTGGTAGAAAATAGGGGTTGGGTAGAGAGAGGTGTTTTCGGTGGAGTTGATAACTGGGGTCGGGGTGGGTTAGGTTTCGGTGGATGTGGGGTGTTAGGGCCATCAGAGGTTTGGGCTAGACAAAGAAGTTAGTGGAGGAGGTGATTTTGGGGAGGAATGGAGAAGGGAATAAATCTAGGGTTTTACTGTGTGAAGGGGAGAAGAAAAAACAAAGCAAACAATCACCACAGAGATGAAGAGAAAACAAAACAAGATGGAAGGAGAACCACCACTAAGAGGGGGGGGGGGGGGAAACCCCCAAACTAGTTGGGAAACCATAATCATCACTACCCTTATGTTGAGGGTGGGAGGAAGAAGAAAGGTTTTAGAGAGAAGTTGGAACTTCTCTCTCTAAAACCACAGATATAAAATCTTAACCTGTTTCTAAAAAATGGATCAATATAAGCTTCTTTGCATGTCATTCTTTCACTGAAATTAACCTTCTGATTTTCCAACATATACACAAGAATTTGACATTATTACGTGCTCAATATAAAAATCCCTCCATTGTCTACTTCAATTACCATCTTATTTCTTCTTCCAATAATTGTTTGGGCAACATTTTCTCATACACCTATGCCTCTACTATGTCCAAAATGTGTATTGTGTCCCGATTGTTGCCCTTTCATTTGAGAAATTACCTTTGTTTCATATCGTGGCCCATCCCTGTCAATTTGAATATCCAATAATTTGAAAACATTGCATGGTATCACATCCTTTCATCTAGCAGGATGCTTAATATATACACAATACAACTTCTAATTCATATCATAATCTTTAATCATTTGTCTCTTTTATCTCCTTACATTAATGCTTTATGACTATTGATAATTTTTTTGGTTGAGTAGCCTATTGACTAGAGTTCACCTAATTAAAGATGAACAAGTGGGATGTTACGGGTTCAAACTCGCACTCCTGCATTTATAATTATTTGGGCAACATTTTGTCATACATCCATGTCTCTAACATGTCCATAATTTGCGCTGCATCCCAGTTGTTACCATTTCAATCGAGCAATCGCCTTTGTTTCATGCCGTGGACCATCCCCCCGCCAATTTGAATATCCGATAATTTGAAAACATTGCATGGTATCACATCCTTTCATGTAGCAGGATGCTCAATATATACACAATACAACTTCTAATTCATATCACAATCTTTAAGTATTTGTCTCTTTTATCTCCTTACACTAATGCTTTATGACTATTGATATTTTTTTTGGTTGAGTAACCTAGTGGCTAGAGTTCACCTAATTAAAGATGAACAAGTGGGATGTTGCGGATTCGAACTCGTGCTCCTGCACTTATAATTGTTTGGGCAGCATTTTCTCATACATCCATGTCTCTATCAAGTCCATAATTTGCGTTGCGTCCCAGTTGTTTCCCTTTCATTCGAGTAACCGCCTTTGTTTCATGTCGTGGTCCATCCCCCCGCCAATTTGAACATCCGGTAATTTGAAAACATTGCATGGTATCACATCCTTTCATGTAGGAGAATGCTCTATCTCCTTAAACTAATGCTTTATGACTATTGATAATTTTTTGTTGAGTAACCTAGTGGCTAGAGTTCACCTAATTAAAGATGAACAAGTGGAATATTGCAGGTTCAAACTCGCGCTCTTGCACTTATAATTGTTTGGACAACATTTTCTCATACACCCATGCCTCTACCATGTCTTGAATTTTCACTGCGTCTCAGTTGTTGCCCTTTCATTCGAGCAATCGCCTTTGTTTCATGTTGTGGCCCATCCCCCTGTCAATTTGAATATCTTATAATTTGAAAAGATTGCATGGTATCACATTCTCTTATAATTTGAAAAGATTGCATGGTATCACATTCTTTCATGCAGAAGAATGCTCAATATATACACATTACAATTTTAATTCATAATCTTTAAACATTTGTCTCTTTTATCTCATTAAACTAATGCTTTATGACTATTGATAATTTTTTTGTTGAGTAGTCTAGTTGCTGGAACTCACCTAATTAAAAATGAACAAGTAGGTTGTCATTGGTTCGAACTCGCGTTTCTGCAGTAGTCTAGTTGTTGAAATTCACCAACTTAAAGATGACTAAGTAGGTTGTCATGGGTTCAAACTCATACTCTTGCACTTTATATTCATATACAACTATCAATTGAACTATCTTAACGAGACTATTATAATTTTTACAACCTATGATTTTTTGAGATTTAATTGTTTTAAACTCGTCTCATTTAATTAAATAAATAAATATTTATTATTCAAATTCAATATAGGTATCTCAATATGATAATAAAAAAGAAAATTTTTAATATATCTTTTATATAGTTAGATTTGTCAAAATACACTACTTGGACCATGTTTTAGATAAATTAAAAAGCCACGTTATTTTGAGAATGATGAAAGGAAAAGACAAATTTTCATTGCACTCTTACTATTTATTTTAAATCCTGTGTGAATTTTAAAAATGCCTCTTATTTTTAGAGATGCAAATATCTTTCTATAAAAATTACGAAAAAAAATATAATTTCTTATGTGCATCTCCAAATAAACTTTATTTTTATGAAAAAAAAGTTTTTTTAGATATACGTATTCGAACAAACATTATTTTTTATAAAAAAATGAGTTTTTTTAAATATGTATATCTAAAAATTTTCCTGTTGTGTTTTTTTAAAACTTAATATTGAATGTATCCGGATAGACACACATAGAAGTCATGCAACAAATATGTAAATAACAACAATTGAGAAAAATAATTAGAAAATACAAAAATGATTATAATAAAATTATAAAAAATTGAAGAAAAAAAATACAAGTAAAATTTTAATTAAATGTCTACAAATTTTTTCGGATTCTTTCGAAAATAAGTAAATAGAAAATAAATTAAGTAAAATAGAAAAAATAAAGAATTTAGGATTTTTAAGAAGTTGTCCTGTATTTTGTTCCAAAATAAGAAACTTTGATCCTAATTTTTTTCCTAATGAATTGATATGGTAAAAGTTTGATTCAAATTTTTTTCAAAAAACTGAGTTTTTAATGTTAGAAATCGTAAAGGCCATAAACGCGGGAACGGAAGGGCCAGAACGCAATGATACAATTCTTATAATTCTAATATTGGATCAAATCGACAGAGTCCCCGACAACGACACCAATGTCACGACAACGATGTCAATTTCAACAAAAACACATAGTAAATGGATTCATGAGTGTTTTCGGATATACATTTATGAATTCACTCCGGGTGAATTCAGAGATGCATATCCGAACCAATTTTCTATTTATTTTATGAAAGGTACGTTCAGATATGCATTTTCAAATTTACTGAAAAATATTTTCGAATTTTCAAGGATATACCCCCTATAGAAAGGGTGTAATGAGAATTTACCAAGGAAATTGAACAAAAGGACCACAAGAGGTCCATATTATCTCTAATTAATGCAAACTCACAAACCCAATACTGTTGAAGAAAAGCTAGTGGTGGATGATGTTGCCAAAAGTAAATAAATTTTTTCAAAAATTCATTTATTAGTCCAAGATTTAAAATTAAAAATATGCAAAAGTTGACTTCCATATTTTTATAAGTAGGCCACCAAAATAAAATATTCTCCATTCTTTAAATCTTTTGATTCATTCAACGTCTCATCAATTTTGTTGTCATAAACTAAAGGTTTGTTTGGTCCTTACCAAAATCCTAAATAACTGTCATTTTAGTTCATTCATATTACAAACACATTTTGTTACAAGAACATATTCAAATCATACTTGTGTTTCAAACATTGATTCCTTGTAATGCTCCACTGTTTAAAAGCTTCATCCCTTCTTCACTCATCTGTTGAACTTCTGTAGGTGATAATATTCTTATACACCTAACACATCCAACGAATTCCCTGCACACAACATTGTTCCAAAATAAGGCTACTAGTATGGACACCAGAAACACGACTCTGACACTAACACGTGGACATCAGTATTAATTTGAAAAAAAACGTAATAACAATATTTTTCAAAACTTACTCCCAAGGGTCATCTCCAACAAGTAGAACATCACTCTCATAATCTACATATACTAGTTTCCATCCCGAACCTTTCGTGTCATTCAGCAGACCGTCCAGTCCAAACATGCATTCAATTGCGCAAATCAGCTCTCCATAGTTCTTGAACGTAGTTACGTCGATCGATCTTCCAACCGAACCTGCTTTTTGCACCTGTTGCGGAATAAAACAATAACAAAACATCATATTGATATACATGATTGAAACATGTTGAAGAAAACAATGGTTATCAACCAAACTTTATAGATATAAGCATGTCATAGAAAAATGGTACCTTTGTGTAGGTTCGGATCGGTGCAGCTACTTGCTTCCATGAGTTATTGTTCTGCAAAAAGCTACTTTCATCGAAATCAACATGGCTTGAAGAGGTGCCGCCTGAGTTGTCTCGCAGAGAGAACGCGTGCGACTCAGCTAGACTTGCGGATGTTATCTGAGATTGGCCATCTTGGCTAGAACTTAAGTTTCCGACCATGCAGTCTTGAGGATGTTGAAAATCTTTATCCTTCATTGAGCAAAAATCGTCAAAAATTGTATTTGAAGTAGTAGAAGGATCAACCATTGTGGTACTCACACTATTACTGACATCAACATTGACACAAATTTCACTTTGGTTATTGCTTTCATCTGAAAGATCCTTCATGTTAAAATTCTTAACATAATGATCCCAAACTTCTTGGTTCATTGAAGGTATAGAGGGATTCGCTACTTGAGGTTGGCAAGAAGAATACATCATCCATTCGTCAACGTCTATTTGAGGAAGCATGCCGTTCACAATGGAAGAATCGGGTTGAACCATATCAATCAATTGAGGATGCAACATCGACGAATCTAACTGAGGCTGCTGCTGAATAGGCCACGGACTAGTTTGATTGAATAATAATGGATTTTGATTATGGTATGTTGATTGGTTTGCAAGGCTTTGAGAATTAACAGGATTCACCGCATTCGCTTTTTCAACATTGTTGCAGGCTTCGAAAGAAGGGAAGTCGAAAATTTGATCAGGCAACGACTCGGATTCTATTTTCATCTTCTCGGTTTTGGTCAAAGGGTGAAATTTTTCAGGTTGATCATTTCTCAACAATGAATGCATGTTTAAGGTATTACTCGGTATGCTCTCGGTAGTTGAAAGATGGACTTTCGGATTCTCCATCGCATGCGAAGACTTAACATCTTGCAAAGGAACTCCTGTAGGAGCATATTCTTGTTGCATGACAGGTAAAAATGCTCCATTGTTGTTGATTACTTGAGGTTTATACATCATCTTCATCATGTTTTCTTGGTAGAGATTCGACATCGAGTTTGAGAGATCCATTGTTCCGTTTTCAGGTGCTTTAATAAAAGGTCTTCTTATCAAAGTTCCCCATTCATTTTCTGCATCAAAAAACAAATCATCAAGTAGAAGACATTTTTGATAAAGTAGGAATTATGGAATTAAGAAACTTACCCGAAAAAGCGGATTGTAAAGGCCGTTTTAGACTCGAAGTCATAGAAGGAAAGATAAAAAGGCTTTCGGGAGTCTCAATTTCCCATACGTTAACTCTATTTTGCTTATCACCGCACCCTGGCTCGTCCCATTCGGCTTGAATATTTCGCCACTTAGAACCAGGCCACCTTAGTGGATCGACGTCACTGATACCGATAATCGTTCCCATGTATCTGCAGATAATGAAGAAATATACATCAACTTCACACATATCACAGCAAAAACTTCAACCGAAATGCATATTTCGCTGTATCAGAATCCGTGCATTTAGAAAATTACCTGCGCTTACCCGATTCCTCGGTCTCAAACATCATACCAAATCTCATACCAACTGAGAGCTGAGTCCCATAAACAGCTTTTCGGTATTTCGCCAGTGGAATAACAAAATCTGAAGGACATGCCCTGAGAATAAACTCGACAAAAATTAGTACCACGATTTAATTTACATCTAAAAATGATATATATGTTAGATGAAAGTGTGAACATGATCTGGTATACCTCGGATTGTAGAAAATCGTGAAAGGACTTCGGTTAGCGGCAGCATGAGCTGCAGCAGCAAGGATGCCAATGTGCATGCTATCAGCAGAAAGTACTGATGATGGCAATGTTGTTGTCTGTTGACGATTAGCACGCCTTACACCAACTCGCAATTGTGATTTCTCGTCCCTTGAAACAATTGAAACATCACATTTAGTACAGAGTCATGTCATGTTGAAGCAACTCGACAAAAATGAAGCCAACAACAAAACATACCTGATAAAAAGAACTGAATCGCCCGCTCTAAGCCTTTTTGAGCCGACAAACAAACTCCATCCTGTTGTGAGAAGGTGTCTCTTCGGCTGACCTACATGAACAATGTAGGGAAAAAAACGTAAGGATCTAAACCGGCCCGGCTCTTTTAAGAGTAAATGCTTCAAGGTTAAGATAATGAAACAAAGTAAAAAAGAATGAACGTAACTATATGTGCAAGAGTCAAGGAATCGCGTACGACTCTGACACATATCAGACACCAGACACATTTAATATAAAGTGACAGCGAAAGATGCCAAGTAAAAGTAGAAAACATCCTCACCTCGGTATATATGTCGAAACGTCCATGTATTATCATGCAAATCTCTAACAACAAGTTCTTGAGTTGGAGGTTGAATTGTGTAATCCTAAAACCAAAACACATTAATCAAATAAGGATTCTTGTAGAGTAAAAAAAAAAGGTTTGCAAATTCAACCAAACTAGTCCTATGTAGCCTTACGAGTGGAGGAAACAGCTTCTCAGCAGCTCTGCGCGGAACCGAAAAGCCACCATGTGTGCTAGTATCACTAGCAGTCAAAGTTTTGCAGAAAAACTCAGTTGGATGTTTACTTTGGCTCAATCCAAACTCAGATACAGGAAACACTTCTTTATCCTAACAAAAAAAAAAAACAATACAACACAACATAATCAATCTTAAACACTAAGAATAACATTTAGATGTATAATAATAACAAAATTCTAGAACTAAGATTTCTTATAACTTACAGAATTCAATGGTTGAAGAGTCATTTGAGCATAGATTTCATCCGTTTCCTTATCAGCCTATCATCATAATCATAACAAAAAAAATTAAAGATTAAAACTTTGAAAATGAAATAAGTGATCAAGGAAGAAAAGGTGGTAAAAAAATTACTGACATGTAGTGTGACATTTTGAATTTGACACAACAACTGAGAAGGAAGATTAGGATAGTTTGGAATCTGTGAAGTTGCTGTTCTTCTAGTAGAAGCTGCAACCTAAACACAAACAAAAAACAAACAAATCTTAAAGGGTTTTTAAATATACAAAATCAAGAATGAAAAAAAAAAAAAACTTTTAAAAGAGACTACTTCACCTGTTCACTATGTCCTTGAGGGAAGTAATAAACAAGACCTCCCACATGAGGTAAAGTCACAAGAGGACCAGCACAAGCATGCCATAACTCAGAATTCAAACTCTTTCTCACCCCTAAAAAACATTAAACCATTGAAAAAAAAGAAGTGATTATAAATGAAGCTATTAAAGAGAACTAAACAATTAACAAACATCAACATACAAACACACCACAATGTTGTTGCATTTCCTTAAGCAATTTAATCTCAGCAACAAGTCCTCCTCCAACTCCAACTCCAACTCCAACACCAACACTTTTAACCTTTTCTTGTAAGGAAACCATTTTCTAAAACTTGTTCAAACCTCAAAAAAGGAACAAACTTGAAGCAATATTCTTCACCAAATAACCAATCACCACCACCCCCATTTTGTATTATTGACTTAAGGGTAAAAAACAAGGGTCCATTTTGAAGATGAATATAATTATTCTAACATGAGAATCTCATTTTGTTCTTGTCTGTAAAACAACATAAGAATCCAACAAACATGAACAAAGGAACAAAAACTGCTAAAAAGAGGTCAAAGTCCTAACAAGATGTTTATTTGAAAAAACAATAACCTAAAAAACTTTCACCAAAAAACAAAGCACGCGTATCAAAGAATCATGAGTGGTTTTTTTTTTTTTTTAATTATTCAAAGAAAAAAGAAAAAAAAAACCTTTGAGTGAAACCACTCATCATCACATCACACTCTGATACAGTGATTCTTTCATTCTTTTGTTTTTTCTATACAATTCTCAAAGCACTCTCTCTTTGCTTCAAACAGCAAGAAGCAGTGTGCATGCTATTACCAACAAGTTCTAACCATTTGCAGCTTTATTATTTTATGAATAAAAATTATATATTTTATATTTTAATATATGAGAAAAAAAGTATTATTATTTATTATTATTAAAATATGAAAAGTAGAAGTAATGTCTATAAAGAAGTCAGAAACAGTACAATACATACACGCTATCGAGTACTTGCAACATTATTGTTATTATTTTATTGTTCTGTAAAATGAACAACAAGTACACTTTTTTCGAAGGTAAAATTAATACTCATAATTGAAGATGAATATAGTACTCTTTCTCTATCACCGAATTTGAAAGTTAAATTATTATGATTGGTGTTATTTAAAAGATACTAAAAGTTTATAAAAAGTTAATCCATTTACTTACAAAGTTGATGATATTAATATTCCCTCACCTTGGTCTTGTAGTTCCAACACTTTCATTGTATTTAGTGGACTTTAATGTATGCACACATATTTATTAATATGAAAATTATTTTAAAAGTTGTATTTATGTTAAAATAAATAAATTAGGTAGAATTTGTTTCTTTTATTTTGTTACGACAAAATGACTGTTATACATGAAAATATTTTAATTTTTATTTTCTTTACAATAAAGCTATTAATCAAACAACAACCTCAAATTAGAATATTAAGTTAGTATTTAAGTAACATTATTTTAGTACTTATATAAATGAGTATGGATACCATTATACTTGTCTATGTATTTTATTCAAGTATATTTTTTACACAGGCACATGCAAACATGGATTCTTTTTCTTCCTTAGATGTTCATTTGTCTCACATTGCATTAAAATGAGGTATTCCTGGATGTTTTCGGGGCGGGTCGGTTTGGATATGAAGGCTCTCGAAGAGTGGTTTGGAATTCTAATTAGATAAATCGAGATTGGATTATAATAATGATGGAATTATTTTTTTTCTCGAAATCGGTTTGGTATGTTCGGATAGATCGGGACCAGACCAAATTTAAATTACTTGTCTTATGATAACCGAGACCGATCCGATGATTTTCGGTCAGGTAACCGGATCACCCGAAATAAAAGCAAAAAAAAAATATTCAAAATTTCTAACATTTTTAATTCAGTCAGAGTTTGCAAAATGTTTGAATAACTAAATAACAGAATTTTCAACATAATATTGTGCATAATTTTGATACTACATTCACATTGTATCATTGGACATTATATTACAAAACCATTTCAAAAAACCTGTTAAAATATAAGTTATGAAACTTATATTTTCAAAAAAGTATAAAATATTATTACATTATATTAATGATGTCTCAGAACAATCTTATCATTGACATTGCAAATACAAATCTTCAAGTTGCACATGTAGAAGAAGCGACACCCGAATCTTCACCAAAATAATATGTTAAAGGTTCATCTCGTGGTTCCCCAGGCTACAAATGAAAATGTATTAGTGAGAAAAAATATTAAGCAATATGTATTAAATTAAAAAAAGACATGAAAAATTTACTTACAATACTCACAATGCAGTCCTTCTTAATCTCATACTTCTCCTTCACTCAATCACCTCCACAAAGTATCATTTTAACTATCTTAGTTTTCATAGATGATCGTTTCGGATCAATAACATTTTTTCCAACACTAAAAGTTACTTTTGAAGCAACAATAGTAATTGCAACAATTAGGATATCCTTTGCCAATTTACTAAGAACATGATACTTGGGTTCATTCCCCATCCACCATGTTAAAACATCAAATTTAGCTTTAGAGGGAACTTTTAAGGGAGACTCCTCAAGATATAATTCAAGATCAAATTTTGAATTATTATTACCCACAACATATTTAGGTTAGAAAGTAACAAAATATTTTAGATAAAAAAAAAGGTCAAAACTGAAACATGGTAATAAAGGATTCATCAAATCAAACATGCAAACATGGTAAAGATAAAGAATACTATAAAGAAAATAACAAACAAAATAGTTTGAATACATTACAAGTTTATGGAAACCTTGAACGATTAACTCAAAATCTCTCTAAAACAGGTATACTCAACACTCATGAAGAAGAAGAACACGTAAAATCAGTAACAAGAGACATCAACCATATCAGAAGGAGTTGAGGGGAAGGGGAGGTCGTCAGAGGGAGAAAGGGAGGAGAGACATGGGTAGCATAACTGAAGGAGTGGGAAAAAGTGAGGAAATGAAAGGAAAAAAATTTATATTATTTATTTCGGTTACTCATTAGGTAAATGGTTCAGATCTTCATTCGGGATTCAGATTATATTTTTATCCATTACCGATTTGTGCCTTGTTTCGGTTGGTCTAATGGGCCAGGTCTACCAGTTTGGTTCTCGGGTGGATCTCGGTTCCTAAAGCCCAAAAACAGCTCTATGTGTGGTGTTTATAATGTTTGGGAAACTTCCTTCAAATAATTCGACTATGTAACATTGAGTCAGATTCAGACCAAATTTTAAGATGGTATCATAGTTTATAATGATCGGTTGAATTATCTGCTATCAATTTTTTCTATCAGACCATTTGAGTCACGCTCCTGATGTCTAAGTATGAGTGTGTGTTTAATGTGTTAAGAGTTCAACAATGGATGAAAGATGGCATGGACATATGTTTATATCTTAAGATAGAAACATAGTATGTTATAATTTACTGTTGTTTATTGTTGGACTTCCTTCATCATCCACACTTCATGCTCATTAGAACTCAGGTGTGATGAGATAAGGTGTGTTTGAAACTTTGTATTCATTGTGGTCCTCCCCCAGTTGACATATCCCCAAAATTTTGTGGCTAAACTCAACATTGTGCGTCACTTTTTCTTTTGGGATAGATCTTACACGACCTTGTTTCCAAAATGGGTGGCGATTCATGCAATCTCCTCGGTGGTTGTCATTTGACATATTAAACTCGTCTTGTTTATGGTTCCAAATTCACTCTTATTTTCTATTTTTTTCCCAATATATGTGTGTTATTACATTTGGATTGGTTTATTTTTTATATGCAAAGTGTTAAGCAAGATCTCTCGAATATTGTTGAGGCACACTGCCTCGATTTCTCTCTGGCGCGCTTTTTGGAAAGATTTATTTTGTTCGATTGGTTCCAAATTTGGGTTGAAAATGTTTAATTATTAGAATCAACTTGAAAAAATTTAAGGAAATTTGATTTGATTAAAATATTTATTTTGCTGAAGTTTGGATTTTGTCTGATTTTGTGTTTACCTTATTGGACTTTTTGGATGGATTGTTGAACATGTGACTTCATATACAAACTTATTTTTTGAATTCGAGTTTGAAAATATTTAAAAAAGTATTTGGATAAGCAGTGAAAAGTAAAGATAAAGAAAGCATGTTAAAAATAAAAAGTTAAGGGAAGAGAGTAACACTAGAGAGGTTCAGTCTTAATGAAGTGACTTACTCTTCTCCCCTAAGAATTGATCTTGAGAGAATTCAGTAATGCTTGAGAGCTTTTAGAAGGTTAAGCCCGCAAACTCCCTTATAGAAAGAAAATTAAGTTTCAAGTATACTTCAAACCAAACAATGAACAAGAGAATAAAGTTGTTAGTCTTCACACCAAACAACAAACAGAGCTTCAAATGGTTAGTCTCTAAACTAAAAAGAGATTTTGTACGAAATTATCTTGAACCAAGTTAGAGTTTTGAATTGGTTATTATTCAAATTTAACTAAGGTTTTATACAGAGCTAACCACGAATTAAGACGAGATTTTGTACCAGGCTAATCTTGAACTGACTAAGTTTTTGTACAAGGCTGAGCTCAAAAATCGATGTGAAGATTTTCCAATGGTTTCCAAATCAGAAGGTTTTGATAAAGATTCGTTACCATTTATTAATATTATGTTAGTACATATTATAGACTTGTTCCGTCATTATCTAATTGATTAGGCTGTTCAAAAAATTTCCATAATCAATCTGACATTCCCAAATTCATTTGGGTAGGCTCCAAAAATATTTTAGGTAATTTTATGTGAAAAAATGGGCTTTAAAAATGGTTTTGTGTGTGTGTGTGTTTGATTTCTCCATAATGATTTCAAAAACTACCTTGTGTTGTTACAAAACACCGACAACTCAACTAGACACGACCAAGTGGGTTTCACACTTAATCTCTTTCACACTCTGAAGCTTCAAGTCCTTTTGCCAGATATACTAGTCATATGAATACTTCACTTGAATCTTATTATGAATGAGGCTTGAGATATCTTTAAGTCAGACGCCATCATCAAAGGATATCATTGGTGCATATTTGAGCGTTTCATATAGTACTTGCTTGTCTTCACATGTTTTTGTAATCAAGATCATTTCAATAATTGTTACCACTTTAGGTATTGTCATCATAAAAACCATGATATTATCAGGGTCAAACACATTTTTCTTATATATGAGCTTTGATCATTTCCTGATTGTACATGCAAGCACATAGTTCCATATTTCCCCCTTTTTGATGATGATAATGCATCTCTCAGAGAGATGGTAAAACAAAACTGGGTTGATAAA